ATTCAAATACTTACATTTTTTGTTGTGAATTCTCTTGTGTATCTTGTGAATAACCGAATTTGGATTGTAAATCCATAAACTTTTATTGTAAATCTTCAAATTTTACTTGTTCATTTACACTTAAACACTTGCATTTAGGATTATGAATTCCATTATGTTATTTGTAAATTGCCAAATTTTTGTTATAAATTGATAAATTTCACTTGTAAATTGTCGAATTTTACTTGTTTACTTACACTTGGATGCTTGTGTTTGCTTTGTTATATATATTTTCATTTGCATTATTTGACTACATGGTTTGCTTGGCTTGGTGATCACATTATTTTTTGTGTACCAAGGGGTCATAGGTTCAAACCTTCCCTTAGTCACCATATTTTTTTTAAAAAAAAACTTCTAGCCACCGGAGCTCCAACCTCCAGCGGCAGCCATCTAAGCGTCGGTGGTCGGAACTCCGGTGACCATTAATATTTATTTTTTAAAAAAATAATAATGAGGGGTATTATTGTAATCTTATTCATAATTTTAATTTCAGTTTGATCCTTTGGTTCTGCAGTGATATTTTAGAATTTTTTTAGGGCTGTTTAAAATTAATTCCCATCTGTGGTCCTTAATCAAAATTTTTCCAAATAATTAATTAGGAGTAAAATTTGTAAAATGCATTTAACGTTCGAAAAACTAAAACTATATCTTATAAAGAAGTTCACATAATTTAAAATTTTGAATCTTATAAAAAAGACGGAGAGAGTATCAACTAAATCTTTGAATCTCTAATGATCGAATAATCTATATATAATACAGAAACTTTATGAAGTCATCAAACATGTATAGTGCAAAACACAACACCACCCCATGCTAGTTATATTTATATATATATATATAAAATAGAAAAAATGATGTATTTCCCAGTTTCTATCCACATCATATTTATTAAAAGAAAAATCTATTTGAATCTGCAGTAATCTTTACTTTTTTTTTTTACCAGCTAATCTGAAGTTCTCTGTACTACTTCATTAATAAGAACGATTATATATATATATATATATATATGTATGTATGTATAGGTTTGCAATATACTAATATGCATAAGAAGAAAGTAGAGCCCACGGTGAATACATTGTTCTAACATTTTACCCACAGTGAAGAAGGATGAGTGTAAGTGTGTGGGGAAGGAAAATATTTAAATGACATGATTTCCAACAATTAATTAATCAGGACAACAACGTTCTGTCTATTTCCTTTTAATTTTTAATTTTTTATTTAAAAACCAATTTTATATAGAGAATAAAAACTCATGATAAAAAATGTATAAATAAAATAAAGAAAATAGATAAAAAAATTGTCATAGAGAAAAAAATTCATCACGTAATCTTGAAAGACAAAATTAAACATAAAGAAACTCAAAATATCCACTAAATAAATATCATATAACCAGTACAAAAGAACTTGTAAACAATATAATAAAAGTAAAAATTGATAAGTAAAATCAATTTATAAAATTAAAAAATGATAATATAATTGGGATGGTTGGACTTGGGACCAAAGACCCCGTCCCATATCCTGTCTTGTTCCAAGATAGCTTTGTCCTGTCCAAAATCGGATGTGACACGAGAGCAAGATAGAGCTAAACACCCTTATTATTCTCTTGGCCTTTAATGTTATTAGTGTGTTATAAAAAAAAATAATGAGTATATATGAAAATAATTTTCATCTAGATAATATTTTGATAGTTACAAAATATTTGTTCTATTCGATAGATCAAATGTGAATTCTTAGTAGTTCAATTCTGTTGACAAGATTTTTATTGTATATTTTTATTTGACAGACAGAATTAAAAAAGTGAAAAGAGCAAGAGAATAATTCTGGGGAAGACAAAAAAGAAGAAAGAAAAGTGAAAAAGTAATGGAGCCATGCAGAATTACTGAAACAAGAGACAACATAAGCACCTACAGATAAAAACAAGACACGTAAAGAAGGAATATATAGATGGATAACAAAAGAATAAAGTGATGATTTCCACATTAAAAATAAAAATTATTAATAAATAAATTCAATTTTAGAGAATCCTTTTCCCTCGCTCCCTGTAGGAACAGCTTTACAGAGCAACCGTGACGTCCTCCTCGTGATTTTTGTGCAATAATTGTAAAAGTGTTTTCTTTTCCTTTTTTCTGATAAAAATAAATATTTATTACCAATATATCAAAAGCTAAGGGAGAATTGCCAAAAAGTTCCTTAAATCTTTTTAAGGATCTAGATCCTATAAAGAAGATATAAGTATTGATCAAATGATTGAAATGCCTAAGTAAAGGATGATGAAGATATATTGCATGCATTTTAAATGACAGATCATGGAAGAAAGGTTCGCCAAGCCCAATAATTTTTCAACTCTACAATCGACCCTTAACTCAAAATTCCATATAGTTTAAGATTGAACAAAACTAAATCGATTAAATTTTTAATTTAATTCATATAACTCATTTAAACCTAAAAGATTTGATAATCAAATTCTCAGGCATTTCAAAATCCCACATAGACTTTAGAATTCCAATATCACAAAATTTAAAAATCTAAGAGAGAGATTATATTAGAAAGGCTTACCCAGGTGATTGAAAGTCCAAAATGCCTTCCAAGGTCAAATCTCTCATGCAATAGCAAAGCACTCTTCATTCTCCCCCTTTCTCCTTTTGATTTTCGAGCTTTATCCCATTGGTTTAAATCAACATTTTCGAGCATTCGAATTGATGAACATGCATGCATTTTTGTACGGTCAACGATAAAGAGGCGCGAAATTTAGAGTTTAGACATATTTACCACGGCAAACGATGATGAACAATGCAAGAAGAGACTAAAGCCATAATTAAAAATGAAATGTGCGACCTGATGCCCAGGCTAGAGTGTCAAGATTCAGCTCTTATGGTCTAAAGACATCAAATGCCTCTTTTAAATATCTATTAAATGTGAAGTTGTGAGTTCAAACTCTTTGAGGGAAAAAAAAAGTATACATAATGGGGCGTGAGTTAAAAAAAAGGACTAACGGTGGATTAGTACATCAAGAGAGTTATGCACGTGATAGTTGATTGAAGTTACATCATATTAGTAGTAGGCTTTACCTCTATGTGTTCTGTGTTCATTTTACAACAAGTATGTATTTATAATAGTCAATTATAATCGTGGAACGCAATTATTATATACTTGTAACTCATATATATAATTATTCCTTATTTATTAAAAAAAAAACAATTATTCCGTGCTCATTGTCAAAATTCGTTGACTCAAATAAAGCCTAAGTTTGGATAAAACCCAAAATGAAGCACAAAGTTATAGCCTTCTTTTGTATTACTCTACCCAAACCAAGATTATTGATAAAGCCAAAGTTGGATGAATAGTGTAGAATAGGGTCATGGTTATTTGAAGTTGAGGTTTTATTAAGGTTGCAGGGATGAGTTTCCAAAATCCCAAAAAGCAAATATCAGCATAGGCCCAAGGGAGGACTGCTGAAATTGCAAGTATGGACCACAAAAAAAGATAAACAACCCGATTAGAGTTTCTGGCCTTAGAAGTATAAATTAGTTACAACATTAGCAAAGCGGTAAGTTGTACTATGCATGTACATATTATTCAAGTAAAAACAATTTATCTATAAATTAAATAAGCGAGACATAACAGAACGAGTCAGATGACAAGAAAAAAATAGCAGAAAAGCTAGTGAAAGCTTAAGTGTTTACATATTTTTACCTCTTCCCCATTAAGTGCTTATATATATTCTTCTAGATTATGATTTTTTTTATAAAGCATTAGCATGATATATGAACAGAATTAAGTGTGATTTTCATGAGTCTGAAATATGTAATTTCAATAAGTACCAAGGATATTTTTCTATCCAAAAAAATTAATTTATGTACCTGTTAACTATTAATTTTATGAATTTTGGGTCCTCAATTATCATCAATATGATTATAATAGAAAATAGAACTTAAAATAGTCATATTATTTATAAATCATTAATAACTAGCATATTTTTTGGGACCTATGCACGTTTTTTCAATATTTAATTTGTTGATGCAGTTTTTTTTTTGTTCTTCAATATTTCCTCCTATTTTTCAATGGTTTGAATGTTAGAAAAATATATATAATCTTAGGAAAACTTTCATGTTATATATCATCTTTTTTATGTCGCATGCAGCAAAAAATACATAGTTTTTCTTAGTTTTTCTAGTGACAAAATAGTACATATCAATCAATATCACCCTTAATATAAATTTAAAAACCTAGCAAAAAATTATTAATATAACTATTCTTGAGTTTTCCATATGTGATTCTTTCATTGATTTTTTTTCCACATATATTTGATATAACTTTTTAGCTGTCCAAAACTGGTCCCGTAGCATTTCTCTATCTACGGTTTTATTATATTTTTATCATTTGCATTTTAGACTTCAACATGATTTGAAATCAAATTACATGCAGAATATAAATATATATTTATATAGAATATTTTGTCTTGCGACAGTTTCCACAGGTAACCCTTGACATTAGGATACGCTATCCCAGGAAATAGAATCCAAAGCATCGGAGGTAAGGACAAAATAATGCAACAAAACTTAGTTTTAACTTTTTCTGGTAATCATCATCAGTTTCTAATATATTTAATTCATATTTTCGCTTAATTCCATTTATCTTAACAATATTCGAAACTTAATCAAATTTTGAGTAAGCTATAATTTAACCGCTTTAATCCCCTCCCCCCCAACCCCAAAGAATTAAAGTTCTTCTATTTCTTTCCTTCCCAATTGTATGAACTTGTAATACATTAGTGAGAAGACATCAACAGCGCAATAACCTGGTATAGATTTAATTATATGGTAAATTATATTTGATGATAATATTTAATAATCAACTAAATGATAATAATAATGTCAGAAGCACAACAATATGAAAGAAATCTTTTTTTTAGAAAAAAGAAAAAAGAAATACAAGAGGCAATTAATTTGTCTCTATCAAAGAAAAATAAAAAAAAGCTCAAATTATAGAAAACTGCATCGTTGTATTAATTAAGAGAAAATAATGAATACATTATATGTAGTACCTCAGACTCAGTGCTGCATTATCCATATCCATATATATATGCCCTTCGCTAAATAAAATGGCTCAAGAGAAGCAACATCATCACCAACACCCAGAACTACTGAAACTTCACCCAATAATGAAATCTGCTAATAAACTAAACCCACAGTACACAGAATATATATATTATCTTATATAGAAAGAGAGAACTCAAACAGACCCACAGAGATAAAATTATTAGAAAGATACTGAAACATGAAGAAGGAAGTGAAAGTCAACACTTTTAGCTACCTTATAATGAAATAACCAAAGGGTTAATAGTAATAAATAAAAGCAATAATAATGATTATAAAATAGTTATGGTTTTTAATTAAGGTGGTGAAGTTGTAGTAGTAGTCGGAGGATCAGTTGGAGTTGGAGTTGGAGTTGTAGTTGTGGGATTGATCTTTTTGGCGAGGTTGTGCTTATTGTTGTGCATCCAAACCTTAAGCACTCTTCTTTTCACACCAATCTCTTGACAAAACTGTTGCACCACAGATTCTTCCTGTTTCTGAATCTTCCATCCGACTCTCTCAGCAAAGCTCAGCATCTTCTCTTTCTGCTCCTGTGTGAACTTTGTTCTGAACCTCTTCTTATTCTGATGATGATGATGTGGCTTCATCATCCCATGATGAGGATCAGGATGAGGATGATCTTCTTGGTCATCAGATAAGTCTGAAGGGAGGGATGAGTAGTGGGACCCCATGACATTGTAGGGCATGATCATTCTAGAAGGTAAGATGTTACCTGGAGGTGTAGGGTAGGCCATGGTTTCAGCAGCAGGAGGAGGAAGAAGAAGCTTCCTACCACCTAATCTATAAGGATGGTGAAGATATTGATGATGGTGATGATGATGATAATCATGTTGATGTTGTTGTTCATCATGGCCTTCAATTTCTTTTCTGTGGAAGTTTCTGTGGCAATGGCAGGCTGAGCAAGTGAGAGCTTCAAGCGTTCCTTCTTCTCCACTGGGCATGAACTCTCCACAACCATCTGTGGCATTTCCTCCCATGGAAGCTGCATGGTTCTTCAAGCATTCTCTGTACTTCACCACTAGTTTCTTGCTGTAGGGCCCATGTTGATCCTCCTCCATGCCGCCACCGCCAGCACCGCCTCCTCCTCCTCCGGCGCTGCCACCGTTATGGGGCGGTGCTGATGCTACTGGGAGTACTGAGGAATTAGGGATCATGTGGCTGTGGATTGCAGGCTCGTGATTATGGTGGTGGTGGATCAGGTGGCCATGGCCATTATTGCCACCTCCATAACTAGTGGTACTGTTTATTGGGATTGGGATCTCTCCTTCTTCACTGGAAAGTTCCATTCTTTCTCTTTTTTTGCCCCTTCTTCCTTTTTTTCCCCTTCTCTCTGGGGGTTATTATTACACTCTTTTGTTCGCTGGTTTGGAGACCAAAAGGGAAATCACAAGAGGGAAACTATGAGAGAAGAAATTGAAAACTCTAAGTGTTTGGCACAGGCTCAATTCAAACAAGTCTTAGCACCCACCTGCAGAAGGAAGCTAGCTAGACAGCTTTAGCAAACGTGATTATCAACTCTTTTAGATTCTGGGCATTAACAGTTTCAGCAAGAGAAATCAACAGGAGAAAATGTAGGGCTCTCTCTTTGCTTTTTGCGTGATGACCAAGTTGATGATGAAAGTGATCTGGCAAGCTAGCTAGCTCGTTAGCTAGAAAGAAGAGTAATTGGGTGGTGGATATTTCCTCTTCAATCCAAAAGGAAAGAGACTAGCTAGCCAGAAGAAGATAGAGAAAAAGAAATGGTAAATTTAGGAACAGAAAGTAATTAAGGAGAAGGAGCAAGAAACAGCAAAGTCTGAGAAACTAATGAGGGATTGATGAGAAGAGTAACAACTTTAATTTCTTTTCTGATAAGAGCAAACAAAACACTTTCCCTCTCTCGGCGTTTTCTAGCCAAGCTATCTCATGAAAAGGAGAGAGAAAGTGATCCAATAAGAGAGAGAGAGAGAGAGAGTCAACAACAGACAGAAAACAAATAAACAATCTCAGTCTCTCTAGCTATGGGCTAATTAAAGTGGGAAAATAACGAAACCATGGAAGAAGCTGTAGCTTTGTTTCTTTAAATGAATTAAGAGAGCATTTGAAGAAACTGAAAACAGCATACCAGAGCATCATCAAAGTTGTAGCTTGGAGAGAAGTAAGCTTAGCTTCTTCATGAGAGCTTAAACACCTTCGATTTCAACTCTAGAGAGAGAGAGAGGGAACAGAATTAGGGTAAACTGGAAGACGAAGTGAGAGAGAGAGATGGCGGAGAAAAGAGAGGAAGGAAGACACAAGTTAGATAGAGTGGTTTTGGGAGTGGAATGAAATAAGAAGTAATAAACAACAGCCTAAAAGGGAAGATGGGAGAGGGAGAGGGAGAGGGAGAGAGAAAAGCAGATTTTTTTTTTTTTTAGGGGTTATTACAGACAAAGAGGAATGCACAGTGGAGTTTTTAGGGGAAGGAGATTAGAAAGTTACAGCAGCGCAAAATTTTTTTTAAAAAAAGAAATAACAATAATAAAACTAGGGAGATTAAAAAAAAAAAAAAAGTGGGGCGATTGCTTTGCTTGCACTATCAGCCATCAAGTTTACGCCATTTAGAGCGTAGCAGAGTGTGTCAGACAGTGGAGAGGACAGAAGAAAGGCACGTAGAGATTGGCCAAATTTACATCAGAGTCAATTACAATTATAAGTTCTAATAAATTTGAAAATATATTTTTATGAAAAGTATGTCTTTTAATTCAAAAATATCTACTATTGAAAGATTTTTAAATTATAATGGCATTAAAATCTGATAGTACACAATTTTTTTTAAAAAAATTGATATTGCGTTCATTATTTATGGAGATGTAATATTTGAAAAGTAATTGAATGTCAAAAGTATGTTTGAGTTGTTATGTTGTTCTCATTTATTATTTTTTTGGGAAAATATCTGTAATATCAGTTAAAAAAAAGTAGTTAACAAGAAATAATAAATAGTTCTCCTTTTATTAATAACCAAACCCCAAGTTACTCAATAACTAAAAGTGGTAAGTAAATATAGAGCCAAGCATTCCATATTTATAACCAATAATTATAAAGAATTAAAAAAAAGAACTTTTATTTCTCTTTAATTTTCTTAAAACTGAATATTTAAGTAGATGCCTCATTTGACCTATTAATTCTATTTTTACTCTCATTCTTATAGCTGAAGGGAAGAATTAAAGAAGTAGTTGTATTAAAAACCTACAATTTCTATATCCTTTTCTTTTTTCTAAATTCTTTGAAGAGTTTTTCCCCTCACTTTAAAGAGCTAAATTACTGTTCAGCCTATTTAAGCAAGAATAGGTGGATTGAGTAAAATGGGTTTGTCACCTCTTAAATACTACCTCATGTTCTTAATATAAGAGTCAGTTGACTAATTTAAATAGATTAAAAAAATTAGTTATGTTAGTTATTTGTAATAAATGATTGGTTTTCTCTAAAATATCTTTATTAATCATGTGTATTAGTTAGAACTACCATTTGATAAAACAAGGGCTACCTTGAAATAAATAAATAAATAAATATGAGAAATAAAGTAAATTAAAATATTATATTTAGGACTAAATCGAAAGTTAAACTAACTCTTATATTAAAAATGAGAGGTAAATATAAGATTAACATTTTATATTATGTAGATAGAGAAAACCAAATTAAGAGAGTTGCTCTCATTTGAATTAGATGATATTTAAATGAAGGTATATTGAGAACTAAGTCAAGAGAACGTTTTACGAATCATTAGTCTAACCATGATCGGATCGAAAGAAGTCCAATTATGATTAAATAATATAATTTATTTAAAATATAACAAAAATATTTAAATAAAAAAGTATAAATTCACAAGTAAATGAAAATATTCACGTATAAAACACACATAACTTAATAAAATAGAGTTATTAAATTAGCAAATACAACTAACTGCTATTTTTTTAATTAACTCAAATCAATATCATTTCATGCTCAGTAAGAAAAGGGGGGAAAAATCCATCCTGATCATCCTATTCAAAACTCTTAACCAGATCGACCAGTTCAATAACCCAGTTTGTGTTTAATTGATATGCTTAAATCTAAATTAGTTATTAAATCTAGATAGCGTATAGTTGTTAGAAAAAGTGTGTTCTTCTTCTTCTTGTTTTTTTTTTTAACACATCACCTAAAAGGAAGTTATTGTAATTTCATTTTGACAATTTGAATTTTTGGATTAATAATGATTAAAGTGAGTGATTCAAAGAAAGAACAGAAAAGCTAAACATAGTACCAATAGTGGTGATAATTGGGTCTTTGGTTATATATAGACAATATGTTAGTGGGATTCTTCCTTCACGCGCAACATTACTACACAGAGAAATAAAGGCATTAGTACAATATATTAGACATAATAAATTCAAAAAATAAATAAATCAAAACTATCATCACATATATAGGGATAATTAATTTTTTGAATTTTATAATTTTACTTAATTTTTAATCAGTTTTATGTAGGTTTTTTTTTTTTAACTGAGTCTGTACCATTTTCATGAATTATAAATACTACTTCCGATAACACTCATAATATGTTAACTAGGGCTAATGTGATCATTGGTTAAAAGACATATAAGTTGTCAAAAAAAAATGAGGCTTTCAAAAAATAAAATGATGGGATAAAGTTTATTAATTACAAGGGAAAAAAAATTATCATATTCAAAATCATTTCCTCGCATATGTATTCTATCATCTGGTTCATTTTTTATTTCATTTAATTCTTTGTGTTTGAATTAATCAAGATGCATGATTGGCGAGTTTCTTTTATAAATTAACAAATTATTAGTACATGGGTCAATACTTACAATCGAGAAAATGTACTCCTCCGGTCCTTATTATAAGACCCAATTTGACTTTTTATTTGGTCCTAATTATAAGACCCAATTCATTTTGTCTCTTATATTTATGCATTTTTTTCCAAGATAATCCTTATAATAATGATAGTTTTAGCCAATATACTTAATTAGCAAGGATATTTTAGGAATGACAACACTTATTTATTATAAATAACCAACTTAACTTACTTCCTTAATTTCCTCAAATAAGTCAATTGGGTCTTATAATTAGGACCGGAGGAGTATGAAATTGCAGTGAAAAATTTAAATTTGAATTGCATGAATAAATTGAATTAAAGGAGGAGGTTGTGTGGGTGAAGTGTATCCTGAGAAAATCATGAATTGGTTTATGGGAATACATTTGATTGTGGTGTTGTGTCAAGAAATAGCAATCTCAACGCGTCAATGATGTCTTTATGGAATACAAACTGTCATTCAATTTCGTTCAGAATTTTCACATGACACACACACAGGTACATATAGACAGGATTTAATAAACATGTTGTAGTTATTAAGGATGTTTCATTATCTTTCCCCCACACACCACATATAAAATCAAATAATCATTGTGTGTCCTCAATCTTCGCTATAAAATTGTTCCCCTGAAAATTAAAAATTTTGTTATAAAAAGGACTGTGGAATAATTTTGACATATAATTTTTCAAAACCTATGAAATGTTGTCCCTTTTCTAATGTTAATATCGACATAACAAGAGTTCAAAAACTTACGATAAACTCTTATCTTATTATGTGAGATCAGCTACATGTATTGCGCTGTGTGATTGGACTGTATCAAAAATTTCTTAGGCTACATTCGTTTTAAAAATTTTGTTCTCTAATGTTCCACAATTTTCTTTAATATAAAGTACCCATGGCTGCTGCAAAACTATTTCTCAAAAAATATGAGCATTAAGTCAATAATTATTTATGTTATTTTTTCGGCCAAAATTATTTATATTATTTGAATCAATATATATTAATTTAAAGTATTTTTTAAAAATTATATTTTATTCATACTATTTAAATGTTACTGGAATGTGTGATGAAATATTGAATAAATAAAAACAAATTAATGGGTCCCGTTAGAATATATAGATAAATAAAGAGAAAAAATAAGATGAAATCAAATTAGAGGAATCACCCCATATGTGTATATATTTAATATCAATATAATTATTGGAATCTAAGTGCATGCTTCTAATTCTTGTGTATTATTGATCTTAGTGGAGTGAATATTATAGATTGTTGGAATAATTGTTACATTTAATGACAAAAACAAAACAAAAAAGAAGAAGAAAAAGGTAATAATTGTTACATTATTAAAAGCAAACAAAAATTGTATATCCATATCCATTTTGTGACATAACTTCTTTTTATTGTCTAAATAATTTAGCAACTAAAAAATCAATAATTTATTTTTACATATCCCTTGATTGAGTTTCTTAACAATGATTATGGACAATATATTGCATAATCATGGACAATATATATGTATAGCAGACCATTTTATCCATGATATAAGATTAACAAATTGTTTGTGCCCAAAGAAAACAGCCAAATAATACATACGTATTTGTTTATTTATGTTGACCCATAGTACATATTTATTTATGAATCAGGAAAAAATAAAATACTTTTAGAAATGTAAAAAAATTATGAAGACATCACGGTTGGTCTGTAAAGCTGTTCTTTTCATATTCTACAGTAGTGATGAAGGAGGGAAAAAGGATTCTCTTTAATTAAATTTATTTATTTATAATATTTATACTGAAATTAAATCATCACTTTATTCTTTTATTATCTATCTATCCTTCTATATATGTGCCTTTATTCCCTCTTTGGATTTCTTGTTTTTATCTGTGTTGTCTCTTGTTCCGGTAATTCTGCATGGCTCTATTACTTTTCCCCCCCTCTTTCTTTGCTTTTCTTTCTTCTTTTTTGCCTTCCACGAAATTATTCTCTCTTCTTCTTTTCACTTTTTCCCATGTACTTTGATGAAACGTATTATTCACTTCTAGCTTGGTCACATGCTCTTTTTTACCCATAAAATTATAAATATCGTTGATTAATACTCTCTTAAGCAGTTTGAAAGAAAGATCTAGAGCATCATGAAGAAACATGTTTAATCATATAACATGTTTTGTATAAAGCATTAATTTTTTTCCGCCTAGTATTTCCGACTAATTATAAAACTTTCTAACTAATTAACCGAATTCCTCTAACCATGACTTTTATTGAGAGTAATTTTGGTATTTTACAAGAAATAACTCTCTTAAAACTTTTTGCTATTTTAAACTAAGAAGGTTGAGAGATTTTGAGCGAGAGATTCAATGAGAGGAGTGATAGAGAAATATGGCACAACAAGTCTAAATAGTTTTATTTAAAAAGCTAAAGTA